ATATTTGCCTAGTTTATCAATAAGAATATCATGCGAGACCGTATCAAATGCCTTACTAAAGTCTAGGTATATGACATCCACCGCTTCTCCCTTATCCACAAGGCTCGTTATCTTATCAAAGAAAGCTATCAGATTAGTTTGGCATGACTTGTTCTTCACAAACCCATGCTGGCTATTCCCTATCACTTTATTACCTTCCAAGTGTTTGCATATGATTTCCTTAATTACCTGCTCCATTATCTTCCCTGGGACAGACGTTAAACTGACCGGTCTATAATTTCCTGGGTTGTTCTTATTCCCCTTTTTATAGATGGGCACAATATTTGCCCTTTTCCAGTCTTCTGGAATCTCCCCTGTCTGCCATGATTTTTCAAAGATCATAGCTAAAGGCTCAGATACCTCCTCTATCAGCTCCTTGAGTATCCTGGGATGCATTTCATCAGGACCTGGTGACTTGCTGACATCTAACTTTCCTAAGTGATTTTTAACTTGTTCTTTGTGTATCCTATCTTCTAAACTTACCCTCTCTCTGCTTGTATTCACTACGTTAGGCACACCTCCAGACTTCTCGGTGAAGACCGAAACAAAGAAGTCATTGAGCATCTCCGCCATTTCCAAGTTCCCTGTTACTGCTTCTCCCTCCTCACTAAGCAGTGGGCCTACCCTGTCCTTGGTCTTCCTCTTGCTTTTAATGTATTTATAAAAGGTCTTCTTGTTTCCCTTTATGCCTGTAGCTAGTTTGATCTCATTTTGTGCCTTTGCCTTTCTAATCTTGCCCCTGCATTCCCGTGTTGCTTGCCTATATTCATCCTTTGTTAGTTGTCCTAGTTTCCATTTTTTATATGACTCCTTTTTTATTTTGAGATCATGCAAGATCTCCTTGTTAAGCCAAGCTGGTCTTTTGCCATATTTTCTATCTTTCCTACACAGCGGAATTGTTTGCTTTTGGGCCCTTAACAACGTCCCTTTGAAATACTTCCAACTCTCCTCAGTTGTTTTTCCCTTCAGTCTTGCTTCCCATGGGACCTTACCTACAAGTTCTCTGAGCTTATCAAAATCTGCCTTCCTGAAATCCATAACCTCAATTGTGCTGGTCTCCCTTCTACCTTTCCTTAAGATCATGAACTCTATTATTTCATGATCACTGTCCCCTATACTGTCTTCCACTTTCAAGTTCTCAACTAGTTCCTCCCTATTTGTTAAAACCAAATCCAGAACAGCTTCTCCTCTGGTAGCTTTTTCAACCTTCTGAAACAGAAAGTTGTCTCCAATGCAGTCCAGAAACTTATTGGATAGCCTGTGCCTCGCTGTGTTAGTTTCCCAACATATGTCTGGATAGTTGAAGTCCCCCATCACCACCAAATCTTGGGCTTTGGATAGTTTTGTTAATTGTTTAAAAAAGGCCTCATCCACCTCTTCCACCTGGCTAGGTGGCCTGTAGTAGACTCCTAGCATGATATCACCCTCGTTTTTTACCCCTTTTAGCTTAACCCAGAGACTCTCTACACAGCAGAAGCTTCCAGATTGCAGGCCCTGGTTCTCGTGGGGGACTTTAATCACCCTGACATCTGCTGGGAGACCAATACAGCAGTACACAAACAATCCAGCAAGTTTTTGGAGAATTGGGGATAACTTCCTGGTACAAGTGCTGAAGGAACCGACCAGGGGTCGTGCGCAGCTTGACCTGCTGCTCACAAACAGGGAAGAGCTTGTAGGGGAAGTAGAGGTGGGTGACAACCTGGGCAGCAGTGATCATGAGATGGTCAAGTTCAAGATCCTGTCAAAAGGAAGAAAGGAGAGTAGCAAATTACACACTCTGGACTTCAGAAAAGCAGATTTTGACTCCCTCAAGGGATTGATGGGCAGAATCCCCTGAGATGCTAACATGAGGGGGAAAGGAGTCCAGGAGAGCTGGCTGTATTTTAAAGAAGCCTTATTGAAGGTGCAGGAACAATCCATCCCGATGCGCATTAAGAAAAGCAAATATGGTAGACGACCAGCTTGGCTTAGCAGTGAAATCCTTGGCAAAATTAAACACAAAAAGGAAGTTTACAAGAAGTGGAAAGTTGGATAGATGACTAGGGAGGAGTATAAATGGTATTCCTTGAGAATGCAGGGGTGTAATCAGGAAGGTGAATGCACAATTGGGACTGCAGCTAGCAAGGGATGTGAAGGGTAACACGAAAGGCTTCTACAGGCATGTTAGCAATAAGAGGGTGATCAGAGTGGGTGTGGGACCCTTACTGGATGAGGGAGGTAACCTAGTGACAGATGACGGGGGAAAGCTGAAGTACTCAATGCTTTTTTTTTTTTTGCCTCTGTCTTCATAGACAAAGTCAGCTCCCAGACGGGTGGGCAGCTCTCGGTGGAGAAAGAACAGGTTAAGAACTATTTAGAAAAACTAAACATACACAAATCCATGGGACCTAATCTAATGCATCCGAGGGCGCTGAGGGAGTTGGCAGCTGTCATTTCAGAACCATTGGCCATTAGTTTTGAAAACTTGTGGCAATGAGGGATGTCCTGAACGACTGGAAAAAAGCAAATGTAGGTGCTATCTTTCAAAAAGGGAAGTAACTACAGACCGGTCAGCCTCAACTTAGTTTCCAGAAAAATCATGGAGGAGATCCTCACAGAATCCATGTTGGAGAATTTAAGACTGGAAAAAGATCAGGAACAGTCAACATGGATTCACCAAGGGCAAGTCATGCCTGACCAACCTGATTGCCTTCTATGACAAGGTGAATGGCTCTGTGGATAAGGGGAAGGTGGTGGAGGTTGTGGATGTGATATACCTTGACTTTAGCAAAGCTTTTAATATGGTCTCCCACAATATTCTTGCCAGGAAGTTAAGGAAGTATTGATTGGATAAATGGACTGTAAGGTGGATAGAAAGCTCAATGGGTAGTGATCAACGGCTGGATGTCTGGTTGGCAGTCGGTGTCAAAGACAGTGTCCCCAGGATTGGTTCCAAGGCCAGTTTCTCAACATCTTTATTAAAAACCTGGATGAAGGGATGGATTGCACCCTCAGCAAGTTTGCAGATGACACTAAGCTGAGGGGAGAGGTGGACATGTAGAAGGGCAGGGATAGGGTCCAGAGTGATCTAGACAAGTTGGAGGGTTGGGCCAAAAGAAATCTGAGGAGGTTCAACAAGGACAAGTGCAGAGTCCTGCCCTTGGGTGGAAGAATCCCGATCACTGCTACAGGCGGGGGACTGACTGGCTAAGCAGCAGTTTTGCAGAAAAGGACCTGGGGATTGCAGAGGATGAGACTCTGGATGTGAGCCGACCATGTGTCCTTGTAGCCAAGCAGGCTAACGGCATATTGGGATGCATTAGTGGAGCATTGGCAGCAGATCTAGAGAAGTGATTATTCCGCTTTATTCCACGCTGGTGAGGCCACATCTAGAGTATTGAATCCAATTTTGGGGGCCCCATTACAAGAATGGGGATGCATTGGAGAAAGTCCAGTGGAAGGCAACAAAAATGATGAGGGGGATGGAGCACATGAGGGATTTGGGCTTATTTACTCTTCAGGAGTGAAGAGGGAGAGGGGATTTGAGAGCAGCCTTTAACTTCCTGAAGGGGGATTGCACAGAAGATGGAGAGAGGCTGTTCTCAGTGGTGACAGTTGATGTAATCCACTGCTCCTCATTCTAATTGTGGTCAGGGTGGGGTAGGTTGGATATTAGGAAAAACTATTTCCCCAGAAGGATGGAGAAGCCCTGGGAACAGTTTGCCAGGGAGGGAGTGGAATCTCCATCCGCGAGAGGTGTTTCTGAGCTGACTTGGCAAGCCCGGGCTGGGGTGATTGGGCTGGGGTTGGTCCTTCTGTGGGCCGGGAATTGGCTCGATGACCCCTGAGGTCTCCTCTAATCCTGTAGTTCTGGGATTCTGCAATTCTGTTTTTTCCTGTCTGAATGAGGCTGTGATGGACACTGCTGGGCAGGCTGCTTCTATTGTCATGTCCTTTCCCCCCATGCAGATACACAGAAGGGCAGGGCAGGAATCCACCCCCGGGGCCATCCCTTCCACACACACCCCCACGCTGAGGCAGGATGAAGTCACCCTAGACCAGAGCACAAACCACAGCAGTTGCTCTCCAGAGTCACATGTCGTTACTGTGTGATTGGGGGCACCTGCCACTGTCTGGGGAAGGATTTCTGCGGGGAGCAGCTCCCCCTTGGGGCTTGGCACTCGTAGCTCCCCCTTGGCACTCGTAGTCTCTTCCCTCCTGGACAAGGGAATCCTTTCCTAGGTCGTCTTGCCTGGGGCACTCCCTAAGGAGCTGCCCTGAGACCTGCAATCCTCAGGAGCGTCCTCTGTGTTCTGTGCATCCAGTGGAGCCCTCACAGCCCTTTCCTAGTGCCAGATGCCATGTAGGAAGTTGGTAGACATCCATCCATGCAGAGAATTAATGGTGCACTGTGGAGCTAGGCTGGCTCCTTTGCCTTAGGCGAGCCTGTCGCAGGGAGGCTGGGCGCCTGACCTCCTCAGGGGCCTGCTGCCCCGTGACTGCCCTGTGGCCTGTCTGAAGACTGTTATCCTACTCCCGTCAACCTTCTCTTCCTGACTAAACCCACCCAGATCCTTCCGTCTGTGCCCTGAGGCAGCTTGTCATTTCGGCTGCTGCCCATTAGAGCCTATTCCATTTTCCACATTTAAAGTGCGGGGTGGGAAGCAGGACACGGTGCTCCAGCTGAGCCCTCTCCCGGGCCAAGTAAAGTGGGTCAGTCACTGCCCACGTCTTACACACAACTCTGCCCTGACGACATCCCCGAGTGACACTCGCCCCGACCTGCTGATGGGGGGGGCCCAGGAAGGCAACTGCCCCAGGGCCTAGCGATAGAAAAGGTTTGGGCCATCGCTTTCACTACTGTGGTACCATGAGACTGGGCCAGATACTCCCTTAAGTGCTGCAGGGTCATTTAACCAGGCGCTGAGAGTTTGAATTCTTCCATTTTGTTTTGGCTTCTTGGTATTTGCTCTTTCCTTTAGCTGTGGGACCATCACCGACCCCACTGCCGGATCCCTCAGCACCATCTGCTGCAACGGGCTGGAGGGCCGCTACGTCACCATCGTCATCCCGGGCAGGGAGGAGTATCTGTCCCTGTGTGAGGTCGAGGTTCTCTCTCAGGGCTGTACCCCACCTCCAGGGGGTGAGGAACTAGAGCAATGTGACTGGAGACCTGTTCCCTTTCATGTCCCCTGTGCGTCAGCCTCTGCCTAGCGAGACAGCAGAAACCCTGGGAACATCACCCCTTCCCACTGCTGAACTGTGCATGGGCTGCAGCTGTCAGGGGTAGGTGGGAGGGGCCCCATGTGAATATCATGCCCCATGCCAGTGAGCTATGGGACAGGTGGGCTGAGAAGGGCCCTCTGGGCTGAGAGCCCAGCACCAGCCTTCTGTTGTTCCTGTCTAGGGGCCAAGTTCCTACTGTGAATCTGCCTCTCATGTGGTGCCTGGTTTGTGTGTCATTAGGGATGGTCTAGACAGTATTTGGTCCTGCCATGGGGGCAGGGGACTGGACTCGATGACCTCTCGAGGTCCCTTCCAGTCCTAGTATTCTATGATCAGGAAACAGCTCTTAAGTGTGGGAGAAAGGGCTTCTAGGGGCCCCTCCTCCCCTGATGATTGACACATCTCACCTCCTTTCTGCTCACCCTCTGATTCCAGCTCAGAACTTGGCGCTGGGGCGTCCGGCCAATCAGTCATCCACATTACTGGACAAGACTGGACAAGCTGTGCCTGGAAGAGCCGTGGATGGAAACCGTGATGGGAAGTTTGAAGTTGGCTCCTGCAGCCACACCACTCTCATAAGAGAGCCATGGTGGAACGTGGACTTGGGGAGGCGATATTCTGTCTCCATGGTGATCGTGAAGCATGGGGAAAACAAGTGTTGTGGAGTGAGATTGAAGGGTGCCGAGATCCACGTGGGGGACTCCATAGTGAACCATGGCAAGGACAACCCCATGTAAGTTGCTTCTCCATTGCCTGCAGCAAGATGAGCCCTTCCAGCTCAGGCACAAGGATTAGGTCTCATTGCCAGTCTTCTCTTCTGAGCTGCCTGAGTCTGAGTGCTGTGTTGATGGTGCACAGGCATAACCATAGGTGGGATTGGGTGGAGCATAGATTTTCTCTTGGCCTCCAGGACCACCCAACTCTGAATTGTAGGACTGTGATGGATGGAGGGGAATTCCCCTTTTTTAGACATTCCAGCATTCAGCAACTAATGGGTTAAACCCAGAACAGTGGCTATCCAGCAAGTGCTGGCAGGAAGCCAGGAGAGCCAATGGAAAAAAAGTGAGAAAAAGCTGTGGAAAGATTAAGTAAACCTTGGGAGATGAACATGGAATGTCCAGCAATACTCATGTCTAAAATATCTACAAAGGATAGAACCTGGGAATAAGAAGTGTGAATAGATAGGGAATATGTAGTTAGATGCTATCCAGTTATCTTTCTTGTCTCTGGTTTCCACCTTCGTTACCTGAAGCAGCAACAGGCATGTTCGACGGTGAGCCTCATCCTAAGTCTGTCCTTTGGTTTAAATAAGTCATAGTCATTCATGTTTTCTATAGGCATTTCAACTGCTAAGCATCCACTGAATTGTAGCCTTCATTCCACCACTGAGCTGTGGAGATGCTGTACCCAAGGCCCTTTCAAAATTCTCTAAGAAGCCCTCTGCAGCCTCTCCTACTTTATAGACTGAATATTTCTTGGATTGGGGAGCATTCGTTGGAGCAGGGTGGTAAGTTGGTGTAGCGCGAGTGCCCGGCTTCTCAGCTTTCTCCTGTTTAAAGCACCTCAGCTCTTCCCTTTACTCAGCCTCAAAGTGATTCATTTTTTCCTCTCTCCTCCATGTCCAAACACCTCATCAGTCTGAGGAATTCCATCTCCTCTTTAGTTAGCGGTCTGCCTCCCTTAGCCCTGGTCTACACTAGTGAGTTATTTCAAAATAACCTCCTGTACTTTAAATAATGAGGTATCCACACTACCAAGCCTGTTATTTTGAAATAATGGGCTGGTTATTTCAAAATAGGTATTCCTGCTTTCCTCGGGGAATAACACTTATTTCGAAATAGTTATTGCAAAATAGAATTAATGTGGACACTTTGTTGCTGCTATTTCAAAATAGCTACTCCCAGGTATGTCTATACTACCCACCTAGTTCGAACTAGCGGGGTAATGTAGGCATACCACACTTGCAAATGAAGCCCGGGATTTGAATTTCCCGGGCTTCATTTGCATAAGCGGGGAGCC